TGGAAAAAAAAAAAAAAAAAAACAGCTTTGGTGTATTTTTTTTATTTATTTATTTGACATTTTATCAGTCATCAACCCCCTTGCTCTTTAAATATCAATATCGGCCATTGAATATCCCATATTGGTAGTTGCTACACTTTACGATTGTTTTTCAAAGTTGCATGGAGCAGCCAAATAAGGGTGAATGCACATCTTTGAACCCAAATTGAATTTCATGCCTGTGAGACGATGTTTCTCTTGAGTCTGTTTCCCTGCTGATTTTATTTGTCTGACATGGTTTGGGATAAGTGGACTGCTTGTAGGCTGGGTCGTGTTATTACAACTGAGATGCTGGATTGTTTTCTTGCATGGGTAAACTGTCCTTTTGCAGTCCAAATTCAAAGCACACACACCAAGTCCATCATAACAAACAAGTTTCCTATGGAGTTGAACTGGCCTTCCCGACAAGAGCAGAAATCGGGCTACAGTCTCAACAAGCTTTGTTCTTAGCAGGTGGATCGACCTTTGACATAACCCGTATCACCCCCTCCCCCTGTGTGGGCCGTCCGGGCAGGAAACGTAAATGTACTGTTTGGTCCCATCAGCTTGGCTCCTCTTACGGGAGTATGGTGTGGTCCTGCTCGGCTTTTCCGACAGCCACCCACCCTGATATCACATCTCACTCACTCTCCGCCGTGCTTGGCTATACGGAGAGCAGGAGGCGCATTGGCAACCCCTTCGGCTTCCTTGTGGGTCCCATTGAAGTTCAAAATCCCTAGAATGGAGTGCCGTGTGGCCTAACAGGCTTGTGTGGGTGGTCCGCCAGTGACAGAGGGATTCCTCAGGGCTCTGTCCTCCCCTTTTGTGCCTCTGTGTTGGTTTAAGGAATAGACCTAGGATGGGCACTGCTTAACTGTGGAAGCCTGGTTACTGTGATCTGAAACCAAACAAACCTAGCAAAAAGGCCAACGCACTCACAAACATACAAAGACTCAAGCTATAAAACCCAACGAGAGGTTGGCATCTCTTTGGTGTTTTTTCAATGTATGCTTCAGACACGGGTCACGACGAGGCGTTCCCCATAGCGACCCCTAGAGGACGCAGTGTCTCGTTCCCTATTCAGGGAACCATGGTTACATATGTAACCTGAGACGTTCTCTTTACATGCTCATTTATTATGGTAATAAAAAATTATGCATTTATATAAATCCGTATAATTTTTTTATTTAAATCAGTATAAATTATATTTTATAACATTATGTAAAAATGCTTGACTATATGGTTTATAAATATATATGATTATTTTTATTTTGCATGACATAATGAGAATGGGGGAGGGGTGCATAATTGTAATGAAAATAATGTCACAATGCAAATAAATAAAGGTCATAAGAGCAGATTTCTTTATCTCTACACTTATGTTTAATTTCGTGATATTATTCTTAAATAATATAGTTTCCTTTTTTGGGGGGGAGAAATATGACCCAGATTTTGTGAGATACATCCATTTGTGTGTATTCATTTTCCATGATTTTCTACAGTCTCTTAAAGATTATATCTCTCTTGCATATGTCAAAACAGTTTAAACTGCTATGGAAACTGTTAAAATAATTCTAGAAATAAATAGTTTTAACAGTTTAGTTTTGTGTTTTTGCTAAATAAGAATCCAGATATAAAGATTGTCAGGCTTATTTTAACTGATGTAATGTGTGCTATAGTAAGTAAATGTTTTGGGCCCTAATTTTAAAGCCTTGGAATTCCCT